TTCAGACTGCTTCAAGCCTTCCAGGAAACAAAGGCAGAGGCGGGTGGAGGGCGCGCCACACCCTCTCCCATCGGGATCCCACACGGGACCATTGTCCCCGTGGCACCAGCTTAACCGGTTCTGAGCAAACCACACTGCGTCTGCAGATTCAAGGACTGATTCCAGCACGGCCGTCCCCGGGGCTGGAAACACCGAGTTTTTTCATTTGTGAGCATAAGCCGGCGTGTCTTCATTTCACCAAAAGACCTCAGCCAGGTGCTGAGCGCCCCACGGCCCCTCTCTCTCTCACAGTGGTCGGTAGAAGACGGAATCCCACAGGAGTTTTCTCTTCTCATTTGTAGTCAGACATCTCCCAAGTGGGGGCACGGCCTCCAGGACTTGACCATCGGGTAAACCGGAGGCGTTCAGGAAGAAAATGCTGGAACGTCAGCGTTTGCTCTTCCCATTCACCTTGCTGATTTTTGAGTATTTTTAAAAAATATATATTTTTATTGATTTCAGAGAGGAAGGGAGCGGGAGAGAGAGATAGAAACATCAATGACCAGAGAGAATCACTGATCGGCTGCCTCCTGTCTACCTCACACTGGGGTTCGAGCCTGCCATCCGGGCATGGGTCCTGACCGGGAATCGAACTGTGACCGCCGACCTCCAGGTTCACAGGTCAATGCTCAGCCACGGAGCCACGCCGGGCGGGTTTGAGTCTGTTTTATAACATACACAGTACAGTGTACACGAGCATAGAGAGGTGAACTCTCGTTTTTGTTAGTGATCGGCGTGCTGGAGGCCAGGGCTCAGCAAACTTCAGCCCACAGGCCCAAATCAGGCAAACGCCCCTCCCCGCCCCGCGCCTGTTTTTATAGGTTTACATTTTTAAATGGTTGGGGGGGGGGGGGGCGGTGCAAAAATGAGAACACTATTTTGTGACACATGAAACTTTTATGAAAGGTAAACGTTAGCCTCCTTAAGTAAAGTGTGATTTGAACAAACCCATGCCTGTGCACTTACACACCACCGACGGCTGCTTTGCACACGCACTGGCAAAATAGCGGAGAAAGACCGAATGGCCTGCAAAGCGGAAAATATTGACTCTCTGGTCCTTCCAGAAAGAGTCTACCAACCCCTGTTCTTAAGCCACAGGTTTCAGTTCCTGGGACAATATCTTTGTCCCAATAACTTTGTCTTCACCTTTGTGGAAGAAGCGCATTTTCAAGCTTGAGACTTGCTTGGATGGCCTCTGCCCGGTGGGAGGTGGTGGGAAGGGCAGGGAGAGGCTGTCCTGACGCTGCCCAGTTGGCTGGATGGGTGGGGTACGCCTTCAAGGGCAAGCCGTCCTTGACCCTTCGACTTGTTATTATCTTTGTTTGGATATCGATGCTGGAGTCGCCCGGTAGTTAGGGCGTCACCACCAGCATGTTAATAACCATGCTGCCTGCACCGTACTTACCGAGCTCCCTCCCCTCGGAGCCCATGGCCCTTCCTTCCCGTGTGTTCCTTGCTTCTCCCGTGATCCTGGGAGTGCTGTTTCCAGGGATAAGATCTCTCTCGATCAGTAGAAGAAAAACAGACAAACCCTCATCAATGTGGGAGGACCTTCAGCGAAGCCCAGGTGCTTGGTCAGGAGTTGCTGTTTTTCCTTCTGTGTTTTCCGAGGTGCGGCCCTGGGTGCATCCCACGATCCAAAACTAGGACCTGGCTCGTGTGCCTTCCGGCTGACAGGCAGCTTTGTTGCTTGGAGTAGGAAGGTTTAGGTGCCAGGAACCCTGACCACCTCACAGAGCACAGCAGCCTTCTGCATGGGGTAAAAAGTTCATCTTGCCTGGCCGGCATGGCTCAGTGGTTGAACGTCACCCTATGAACCAGGAGGTCACGGTTCGATTCCCGGTCAGGACACATCCCTGGGCTGCGAGCTCGATCCCCAGTGTGGGGTGTTCAGGAGGCAGCCGATCAATGATTCTCTCTCATCATGGATGTTTCTATCTCTCCCTCCCCCTTCCTCTCTGAAATCAATAACAACATACGTTTTAAAAGTTCATTTTAATAGTGTGTGTGCGTGTGCACATGCGTGTGCGTGTCCAAAACAGCTCTAAGTGCCCAGCTGAGAGAGCTCATGTGGGTGGAAACCTGGCCAGTCACCCAGTCAACCCTCCAGAGCCCAGAGGCCCGGGGCGGACGCAGCTCAGTCCGTGCTGGAGGGAGACTAAGGCGGCAGCGGGACTCCGAGCCGGTGCCATTTACCGGGGACACTCCGGTCGGACAGCAGGTGGGGAACCTCCGAGTGCTGAGCGAGCGAGGCGGGGACGGCGGGCGGCCGTCATCGCGGGTGGAGAATCCCTGCAGGAGGAAGCCCCGCGCGCTCAGTGCCTTCGAGGCCCCGCCAGGCGGCCCGGCGCAGCTCGGAGCAAACCCCTTGCTAATATCACCGCGTGACGCACGCCCAGGGACGTGCAAAACCAGCTTTCCAGAGAAACAAAGCTCACCAGCGCGCAGGCTGCGCACTTGCCCGTTGCTGCGGGGGTGGCTGGTCCCGAGATTTCGGTGAGGCTGGCGCTGCCGTCGGCGGTCTCCAAGCAACACAGCCCCGGGTGTCAGCAATCGCGTTGGCAGTTTCGGGCTTCCTGGAAAACATGCCTAGGGGACCTAGTGGGGTGACACGAGGGCCAGTCACGTCGGCTCCGTGACACCGGGTCTCCTGGGTGCTCGGGGAGTGAGGTGTCGTCGGGTTTGAGAGCCTCCCCCAGCTGTGGGGGCAGGGTGGATGCCACGAACACCTGAAAAGGCCCCCCAAATGGGCCAACATTTCTCCTTTCATGAAAGGTATTGGAAGTGTGAAATGGTCACCGCATTAGAGAAATACATGCAAGAACTCCAATCCACCCCCTGACAGGACTGCCGTTTTCACTGTGAGTATTAGCTGACACGAGTGTTAGAACTCTCCGCAGTGGTGTGCACACGCTTCTGGCCTGGGCACCGAGCAGCCTGTCCTTCCTGCCCCCCGAGCCTGCCCGCCGTGTGTTTCTAGGGACAAGGTTGGGGCAGAAGTCACGCTGGACTCCACATCTGTAGACGGTGCCCCTGCAGATGACAGTGGAGTGGCTGTCACAGCCCCAAAGCAGCACCTCATCCCTTCGTCTGATGTGTGAACCGGAGGCCACAAAGCTGCCACCTCACCTCCTCGTCCCTCTACTTCCCCTGCTCTTTGGAGCCACTTTGGGGCATGGACAGTTTTTTTCTGAGGGGTCATCTAAGGTGTCATCTAAGTTTTTCCTGAGGGGTCAGCCAGAGCCGGCGGTGGAGGCGGTGGCTCAGGGGCAGGGACGGACCACGGGCAGCGCCTGGCAGGGTACCAGGGGCTGCCAGTCGGGGCGGAAAGGGGGTGGGCGTCACGAATAAGGGGACGGAGCCAGCGTGGGCGCTTCAACAAGCAGAGCCGCCCTGACGCTAAGCCTCCGGGTCTGAATATTCAAAACGAATCCATTTATTTGGGGAGCATGTGGTTTGGCCCCTCAGCTCCCTGTTCTTATCTTGGAAGCGGGCAATGGGACTGTGCGGTTTTGTTTATGCAGCAGTTAAAGTGCTGGCATGGCAAAAAGGGCCACTAGAATCCTCCCAGCACATTATCTGTCCATATTGGAGGTGACTCAGCTTCCTTCCCAAATCTCTACCTCCCACCCCAAAACGCAGGAGGAGCTCCAAAGAGCAAACCTCCTTTTCTGGGTGGGAGAGCGGGGTCCACGGGAGGGGGACAGAATGCGCGGACGGCTCTGGGCGCCCGGGGAGGGCCTCCCTCCGGCTGCGTCCCTCCCCCGGGCCTCTGGCTGCGGCCGATTTCTCAGCCGTCCAGGCGGCCGAAGCGAGGTCTGGCGGTGCTGGAGAAGGTGGGGAGGTGCTGTGTCCCCAGAGGTCACACTTCCCCACACGACGGCTGCTCCGCACAGAAATGTTTTCTGGTTTCAGAGGCCACCAAGCAAATGCGCCCTGGGGGTCGGCACAACAAACCCCCAGGTCAGATCTGCCCCCCGCCACGCCCCCCCTCCCCGCCCCCGCTTCCTCAGGCTCTTCCCCGGCCAAGAGTGCCGCCTCTTCCTGCTTAACACCCGCTTATCCACATGCTGCTCACCGCCCCCTTCCTGCACAGGGGCCCAGGTCAGGGGCGCCTTCCTGGGTCGAGCTTGTCCCCACCCCTCTCACACCTTGACCCACTGCCCAGACCAGGGCTCCCGGGGTTTGGGGAAACCTTGAGGGTCCCTGGTGATGTCAGCACAACTTGAAGACCCGTAGGATTTTGGCATTTGTTGACTGAGAGAAGGTATTGATGGTCAAAAAGGTGTTATAAATTCCTGATTCTTCTAAGGAATTTGGGGCTTTGTCAACTCTAAAGGCACCAACATATCGAAAAAATGTTCATTGTCCTTGTTCAACTTTTGGGCAAGGCTGGATTGCTCTCTGGATCCATACTCCCTTGTTATAATCCCCCGTCCTCAGCGCAGGTGTGGCTCGCCCCGGGTGGGATGACACCATTGGCCGTGAGGACACTGTCCCTGGCGCTCACGTGGCTGATAGAGGTCTTGTCTTCGCAGGGAGTTTGCAAGGCGTCTGTCTTGGGGGCCGGGGAGCGGGTGTCCTGTGTAGGGCGGGTGCCAGCTGCAGGCCTGCTGTCCTGATGACACCGCGGCAGGGCCAGGAGGAACCGTCATGGGAAACGCAGAGGTGGGTCATGAACAAGGTGTATCGTCCAAAGGTGGATCTTGTTGAGGAAAAGTAGGCAGGGCTGTGGCATGGTTAGAGCTCAGACTCCGGACCCGGGACACGGGGAGATGAGAACCAATTGTGGTAGAACATCCGGAATGAAAACAATGGAAACCCACCCTCTGTAAAGTGGGGGTGCAGAGGCTGGGGTGGGGGCAGGGTGTGTGTGTGTGGGGGGGGCAGAGAGCACCTAAAAAGAAAAGCGACACAGTGACCTGGAAAGGGAAAAAAAGAGAAGGTTTTTATTGGGGCAGAAACAGGTTAATTCAGACAACGCACAGTAACAACCCCCTTCGATGCCGGCGTGTGGGAGGAGTAGAAAGGGCGGAATTGTTGCACCTGGAGTGACTCCTGCTTAGACCTTCCCGCAGCCTGAGGGTCTGCCCTGGAGTCTCTCGGGGGTCGGCGGAGGTGCTGCTTCCAAATGATCCAGTCAGTCTGCTCCGCTGCGCTCTCCTAAGGAGCCCTGGGTGCGGGGCACTGCCATCTGCTCTCTCCCCTCCCTTTCTGCGAAGCGTGTCCTCTGATACGTGGTGACAAGCGAGAGGCTAATGGGTGGCGCGTGGATGGGTGCAAAGCTCGGCGGAGTCCTCACTCCTGTCCCTCCACGGCACCGACTGGCCGAGGGGGGAAGGCTTCTCCCCCGCCTCCCTGTTACAGGGAAACCTCCAGCCAGGATGGACAGATGCGCCCCAGGGTACAAAGCCCAGCAGCCCGGCCGGGACTTCGGGCCCACCTGCGGGCCTTTGCAATGTGGAGAATCATGTGCCGTGGGAGGCAATCGACTGAGCAAGCCGACGTGGAAAACGAGTTGCCTAATATCCTGCTCCAGGCAGGCTCTCGAGGAATGGGGGCTGTGAGTGGGAGAGAAATGGGTCTTTTCAGCCGGCACAGACCCAGGGAAGACCACAGTCGTGCCCCAAGGATGTATGGGCTCAGTCACACGTGCGCTACCCCGCCCTCCACCACCCCCCAATCTATGCCCGGAATTTTGGAGAGACTGTGTCACATCGGAATAAATGGAAATAAGATGAAGGATCCACATCCCAAGGGCTCTTCAGCTGTGGAAGGAGATGGTTTACGCCAGTGGTTCTCGACCTTGCTGTACATTAGAATCACCTGGGAATCTTTTTTAAATCCTGATTTCTGGGCCTCATCCTCCGGAAATTCTGTTTCTTTGTTATGGGGTGGGGCCACAACATTAGTAACAAAGAAACAGAATTTCCAGAGGATGAGGCCCAGAAATCAGGATTTTAAAAAGATTCCCCGGTGATTCTAATGTGCATCCAAGGCTGAGAACCACTGGTTTACGCAAATGGAAGGGTCGTGGCTACTTGCCCTCAGATCCAGGGAGGAATGAAGTGTTTGCTCTGAACGAAAGGGCCAAGGGATGGGCAGGAAGTGGGGTGCTTGGACCCAAGCCCCCACTTCTCCACTCACCTCTGCCAGGTGCCCATGCTCCCAGGGGGTCTTCTCAAGTCGGGTGTTTTAAGGAGAGGCGTGGCAGAGGGGGTGGTGGTGGGGCCTTGCTGGCCTGCTGGGGTGGCTCGAATAGTGTCCCCTCCGCCTCATTTATGTCCTCCCAGAACCTCAGAAACTGACCAGATTTGGAAATAGGGTCTGTGCAGATGCAATGACTTAAGTGAAGACAGGTGGTGCTGGAGTGGGGGGCGGGGTGGGCCTACATCCAGGGCCTGGGGCCTCATGGAAGGAGAAGAGACACAGGCCCAGGGAGGCCTTGTGAGGATGGAGACGCTGCCTCATGCCCACGCCACGGACGCCAGCAGCCGCCAGAACCCGGGGGATGGAGGAGGGGAGCAGGGACCCTCTCAGGAGCCGTTGGGAGCCCGGCCCTGTCTCCTTCACACCTGGATTTTGGCCTCTGGCTTCCAGAGCTGATATCCCCCCGTTGGTGGTTCTGTGAGGCAGCCCGGGAGGAGAAGCCCACAGAGGCCGGTGTTCCAGGGGCTCAGGTCTGGCAGCGTAAAGGAAGCGCCTTCCCGCCCGGTGGGAGCGGCGAGCGCAGGGCCCTTATCTCTCCTCCCTGGCTTCCGCTCAGGCCAGGCCGGGGTGTGCGAGGGAGGCGGGAGGCTTGGCACCGGCCCACGCTCCGAGCTGGACAGAAACCTTGTGTCCGTCTCAGTCGTTCTTTTCCTTTGAGAGTGGCGTGTGCTCCCGAGATAAGGGAAAGGAGGAAGTGGGGGTGAGGGGGGCGCAGCGCAGAGGAAAGTGACTGATCGCTCCCAGAAACGGTGACTCACCGGTGTGGGGGTGGGCGGCTCCTGCGGCCTCGGCCTCCGCAGAGAGGGCTGGAGTCCAGGTCACCGCTCTGCCTCCCCTTGCGTGACCGTGAACAGGACACGCAGGCCGCCACCTCAGGTATCTCCGTGAGAAGGGGGCCGGGACGCACAGAGGGGCACCGCAGGCAAGGCCCCAGCGGCAGTGAGCGCAGACGTGAGGACGCTGCCTCCTCCAGGGCCCGTGGACGGCAGGACCAGGCCTCACAGTGACCTGCGCTCTCCTTGGTGACGGGGCTGCTGTTGGGGAAAGTCCCGCAGCCAACAGCCCGCCTGCGGACGTAGCTGGCGAGTCCCTGAATCGGTCCTCTCTCTCCTGTGTCTTCAGTGCAGGAGGATTGGTGCCCCCGCACGCAGGCTGCTCCGAGGGACTCACACTGAATCACGCCTGCCGTGCCCAGGCTGCGGGGGCATGAAGGGGGAGGCCCATGCGTGTGCCCCTCCCAGCCACACGAGTCCTGCTGACCTTTCACCCTTGTTTCCAGGAAGGCTTCGAGGGTTTCTCTGGCTTAGAGCTTTTAGAAGATGACTCCTTCCTCTATAAGATATTACCTTCCGACAAGAAGGCCGAGACAGTGGAACGGTGGCATGTCCTCACAGTGCTGGCCTTTAGGACGACGGGGACCCCGAAGGCCAGTGCCCCAAATCCTGGTCCCACAGGCATGAGACCCCTGGGTGGGGTGCCGTAGTGCTCCCCTCCTTCTCGGTCCCCTTTCTCAGACGCTGGATGCTTACTGACCCTGTAATCGGCTCCCGTAAGGATGGCCCCTTCTCTGACGTGGAGATGCAGGGGAGGTAAGCTGCTCCAGGTCCCAGAACTCCTTAGCGATGAAGCTGGGACTGAATAAACAGAGGCACGAACCGTCGCCTACTGCATACACTCAGGGCTCTCTGTGCCCGAGTGCAGGGACTCCTTACAGCATCCCGGGAGACAGGCGTTACCCCACTTCACAGATGAGGAAACTGAGGCAGAGAGGGGAAAAGAATGAGTCAGCAGTGTAGTTCCAGAGCCTCAGTTCTTAGTGCAACACCCAACTGCCTCCCAAACCCGAATTCAAGCTGCCTGGGTGATGGCCATGGCAGAAACCCCCGGCACTGGGTACATGACTTGGCCTCCCCCAGACTCAGTGTGTCCTTCTGTAAAATGGGCATCCTGGCAGGCACCTCGCCTGCTGCTGTAAGACTCATTGCATGATACGTGAACAGTTATTCCCAAGAAGCCTTAGCTCTTCTTCCTCCTTCTGGACTGGAAGTGTCACCTCTGCATCCTTGCTGTCTGGCCCCCACTCCCTCTGCCCCAGAACTTGTTAATCAGGGGAAGGCTGCCTTAGACAGCATCTCAGGAAACCGCCACTCACCTTATCACCTGGGCTCAAACAGCACACGCGCCTTTCTCTGTGCTCAGCGTGTTGGTGAGCTTTACCCCTGCCCCGAGGCCGCTGTGGGTCAGCTGCGGAACATCAGAGCTGCGTGTCGTCACACACCTGGCCGGGCTGGTTTGGGTTGGGCCACCAGATGCTGTGTCCATCACCAGGCTCTCAGCTTCAGCAGGGAACCTCGGGGTCCTGGTCACTGGGTGGGGACCAAGAAGTCTCCTCCCTGGGAACACCCCCTTCTCTGCCCCAGTCTCCTTTTCAGAATCCTGGCACCCTGAGCCTGCATGGGCCTCCCCTTTTCCTGCGACCACAGACTCTGCCTGGTGGGGCTGGGCCAGCCCCTCTCTGGGTCTGGAGCTCTGCATGCCCCGCCTCTGGGGCGCTCATCCCGTGAGTGGGGTCAGTGGGAGGTGAAACCCCTTCCAGACAGCAGCCCAAGTTTCGGGTCTGCTGACCAAATGCTGTAATTACAGGCCAGAGAGCCATTCCTGTGGCCTGGTCTGGGCCACGGGCTCTCCCAGAAATGCTCTTCCTGGTTGGGGAATTTTGACCACCCCGAGACTTCGATTTCCTCTTGGCACCCCATTCCCACCTTTCTAGGCCCCGATCCATGTACATTGTGTGTCATTTACACATCACTGAACTCTAGGAGTCGTCACATGGATGCACATGCAGTGTGCATGCTGATGGACATGAAGACGATGTAGGCATCACCTGTCCACACACACACCTGTGTACACACAGACACCCGACGTACTATTGTATTAGCTCTGTTGCTGTGGTAACAGTTTATCACAAACTTAGTGCCTAAGACAACACAGGTTTATGGCCTTATAGTCCCAGCAGACGGAGGTCTGCACAGGCCTCCCTGGGATAACAGTGGGGTGTCGGCAGGCCTGCCTTCCTTTCCCGAGACCTGTTTCCTCGTGTTTTCCAGCTTCCGGTGTCCCCTCCCTCCATCTCCCATCCTTCTTCCCATTAAGTTCCTTCTGCGACCACAGCTGGGGAAGGGTCTCGGCTGAATCAGCTCTCCTCGAGGTCCGGCTCAGTGCCTAGAGACCCTCTTCCTAGAACAATTTGTAAGAAAGTCTTCAATCATTGGGTTCTAACTCTTAGCCAGGAGACACATATTAATGCTGTTCGCTGTCTGGAAATTTTTGGAACAACTCTCTGGTTGTTTAAATGGATTAAAACATGTTGAAAGTGGACATTATGGGGTGGGATGTTGATAGCGAGGGGGGCTGTGCACGTGAGGGCATGTGGGAACACCCATACGTACGTAACACTCAATTTGGCTCTAAAAATAAAGCCTGTTAAAAAAGAAAGGACATTTAGAAAGGAAATCTCTCACTACTTCACCAAAAACATAGCGATGGTATCACTAATTAAGTGGCAGTGTAAAACAGATCTTTGGACAAGTATGGCTTTCATAGACAAGGCTTTATCTTCAAAGCTAGATGACTATTTATTGTTCCGCTCTAAGTGGGAGATATGCATCTTTACTGATCGAATAAACTCTGCAATCACTGGCCCCAAATGACAGTTCATTCATCTGCTTGTGTATGTTTGTATGGCCACACGTGCACACACACGCACAGCGTGTACTACTGGCAGGATTGGGGACTCTCGCCTGCTTCAAGCCAACCAGCATTCATCCATCGATTGCATTTTCTTTCTTTCTTTTTTAAAAATCTTTATTGTTGAAAGTATTACATATGTCCCCTTTCCCCCCATTGACCCCTCCCAGCCCGTCCCCGCCCCCCCACCCCAAGCCTTCACCACTCTATTGTCTATGTCCACGGGTTATGCATATATGCATACAAGTTCATTGGTTGTTCTCTTCCCACCTGCCCACCCTCCCCTGCCTTCCCTCTGAGGTTTGACATCCTGTTCAATGTTTCTATGTGTCTGGATCTATTTTTATTCATCAGTTTATGTTGTTCATTAGATTCCACATATGAATGAGATCACGTGATACTTACCTTTATCTGACTGGTTTATTTCTATTGTATTTTCTTACTATGAAACTCATTCCCCATCTCCTTAACAACAAGAGTTTCTTTGTCTTTTAAAAAAAATATTGTTATTGATTTCAGAGAAAAAGGGAGAGGGACAGAGAGAAACATTAATGATGAGAGAGAGAATCATTGATCAGCTCCCCCTGCATGCCCCCTGCTGGGGATCGAGCCTGCAACCCGGGCATGTGCCCTTGGCTGGAATTGAATCGAGACCCTGTAGTCCCCAGGCTGATAGCTCTATCCACTGAGCCAAGCTGGCCAGGGCTCATCTGTGGTTTTTGTATGGCACCTGCGCTGACCAAGAGGATATCCCACCCGGTCTCCCCCTCCCTCACTTGGTGGTTCTCTTTCGCCGGCACTGCCACCTGGGGGTGTCATGTTTTATTTATCTTGTTCCTTTCTGTCCCACAGCCCTTCCCTCCATGTCAGCTCCAATGGGTGGGTTTCTGCCTGTTGTGTTCCCTGCTGAGGCCCATGACCAGATCGGCACTGGGTGCATCGAAGGCTCTCTGCTGTGTGAGCATCTGTTGAATGAAGGGTTTTCCAAATGCCTCCTTTCTCGCCATCTTTGCTGGTTTCCTCTTCTCTGCTCACCTTCAGCCCCAAGTGCTTAGAACTGCACTTGCTGGTCTTGGCCCCTCCAGACCCGCCCCTCCTCTCGCTCCTCACTGTGATGAGGAACCTCCCGGCCTCTTCCTCGGCCTCCATTCATTCATTCATTCAATCATCCAGTCACTTAACTAACACACATGGTTGGTGAAATAGAATGAAAGTGACTAGATGTCTGACACAGCACATGGGGGATACTCTGAACCCCCTTCTCTGAGCCAGTCTGGGCTGAAGCAGGGTGGCCAGGTGAGGTGTTCTGAACGGGACTCTTCATCACTTCCTGTGTGCCTGCTGAGGGGGAAGGGAGGTTGGTGTTTGAGTGACCTGGAGACTAAAGGGTTGCGTTGAGTCAGATGCACAGCGAGGTGTGTGTGTGTGTGTGTGTGTGTGTGTGTTAAGAGAAAGAGACACACACACAGACAAAGAGATGGAGAGAGAGAAACACAGAAGAGACATGGAGAAATACACTGAGAGCAGAGGCACACACACAGAGGAGAGAGCGAGCACAGTGCTCGTGAAGTTCAGTACATTTCCTTCCCCTCCACCTACAAGAGCTAATCCTGTCCGTTTCAGGACATGGGCGTTTGTGATCAGTAAGTCATCTGCAATTCTTTTCTGGAAGAAAAAAGGACCAGGGAGAGAATGCGAGTCCAAGATCTCTGTGTGTATCCAGTGCCCACCACGTTCCCTGGAGGCCTTTCAGGGATGCTCTGCTGCTCTGACCTACAGGATCCAGGCCGCAGGGCGGGGCCTGCTCTAGTGCTGACTGTTCCCCGAATGTCTACAGGTCATCACGAGAGGAGCAGGAGGGACCCAGGGTCAGGTGGGCCAGATGGAGTTGGGCAACAGGTTGCTGCCCAGTACAGGTGGGGGAGGAAATGTTGAGTGGGTTCAGGTGTCGATGGGTGTGAGGGCCACGCCTTCCTCCCATAGCATCCATGTGTGCAAGTGTGCACATGCGTCCGTGTGGTTGGTGAGTGTTTATGTGTGTGCATGCTTGTGCATATGTGTGTGTGTGTGTGAGAGAGAGAGAGAGAGAGAGAGAGAGAGAGAGAGAGAGAGAGCCTGAACTCACACACATGGTTGGTGAAATAGAATGAAAGGCTCCTCGGAGGCTGACAGGTCTGCCCAGACCCCAGGTGTGCCGTGTGTGGCTGGATCAGCGGACTTTTCCGGGCAGTCAGAGCCTGCAGCTGTCTGGACATGATTTGGGGACAAGTGGAGGCCAAGCTCTGAGGATTGGAATCAATGTCAAAGAGAAGGAATGTGTGTAAAGGCGGGCTGCCAGGGAGCTCTTGCTCACAAGAATGCCGTGTCTTACTTGTTAGAAACGTTGGGAAAGGAAACTGGAGAAGAAAACGTAGAATGGGCTGCATTTCAGAACGCGGATGTGAGTAATACACTGTGCAGCTCCTGGAGCTTCGATGAGGGGTCAGTATTATGTGAATGAGGTGCGCCAGGTCTAGCCCCGACTCCATTCATTCATTCATTCATTCATTCATTCAATCATCCAGTCACTTAACATACTTGTCAGGTGTCTATGGTTAATTGATTCACTGATTCAGTCATCAGAGAATTCTCATCCTCTCACTATACACACATATTGTGCTAATTTTGCTAGAATATTTAAACACTTTTGTGGAGTAATTTTATTCTAGAAAGATTTTTTTCTCACCTCTTCAGCGTCCTAGAACTCCAAATAATCTCCAGCATTTTTTGTCAGCATTTTTACATCCCCGGATTTTAAGAATCCTTAAAGCCAGCCACGGTGCTGTGTCCAAACACACCGCTGCCGATGTGAAGATGGAGAGGTGCCATCGCGGACACAGAGGCCTGTAGACTGGGTCCTCGCCTGGGCGGCGGCAGACTGTGACAGGAGGGAGCAGACATGGCTTCTTCAGACCCTGGGACCTGCCCCCTCCAGAGCAGTTGGGAGATGATCGTTTCCGCGTCTTCTCTTCGCCTTTTCCACCTTTGTGTTTGGAAGCGTCGTGCTGTCCTTGTCCACTTCCCAGTCCCATCGGCCTCTGGGCATGGCAGCCGGGGACACCAGCCAATGCGCGTTCATCTCCTGTCCAGGAGCCTCTGGAGTGAAGCACGCCGACCTTCAGCTGTGATGACCGCGGCCTTCCACTCACCTGGTCTTGATTTGTTTCCATGGGGCTTCCTCACCCCAGTCCCTCCAGGGCCCTGGAAGGCAAGTGTCCAGGAGGTATCAGATGATTCCATGAAGTCTGTCCCTTAGGTCGATGGGCACCCTTGGACCACGATCACTGATTGCTGAAAATGGGGCTTCGTGGGAAGTCCTATTAATTTGGTTTAATTTTTTAAAAAATATTTTCATTGGTTTCAGAGAGGAAGGGAGAGGGAGAGAGCTAGAAATTTCAATGATGAGAGAGACTCACTGAACACCTGCCTCCTGCACGCCTCCTACTGGGGATTGAGCCCGCAACCTGGGCATGTGCCTTTGACCGGAATCG